CCCCGCCCCGCCCCGCCGGCACCCATGCCTGTCCATCCTGCTGGCCCCCAGGGGACAATACACGGCGTTGGTCTGCTTCCGCCTGGAACGGTCGCCACCCGACGCGCCGGTGCTGCTGGTGGCCACTGGCTCGGCGCGCGGTGTGCTGGCTGTGCACCTGGCCACCACCGGCGAGCGCCTCTTTGCCCTGATCATGGCCGGACCCTTTGCCGGGTCGGAGCTCTACCCCGGCGCGCGACTGGGCCACGACCGCGTGGGCAAGATCCACCTGGCATCCGGCACCGGGGCCGGGCTGAATGTGGTGGTCCAGCGCCGGCCGACTGCCGGGCCCCGGGGCCGGCCCTCTTCCGACGGCTTCTTCGGATCCAGCCCCTCCTTCAGCTCGGTGCGTGCGGTGGCGGCGGCTGCGGCCTCGGTCGCGGCCTCGGCCGCCGTGGCCGTGGCCGCCGGGCCTGGCCACGGGGCCGGCCACAGTCTGGCTGAACATCTGGCCGAGTCGGCCGCCGTCGGGGCTCGGCCCTTTCGCGGCCTGTTCGCCGGGGCCCCGACGTCGCCCATGCTTTCGGGCGCCCATGGGGATGCCGGCGGATCTCCCTCCCTGGCGGGCGCCCGGTCCCCGGACATGGACCCGGCCCTTGGCCAGCCGGGAGTGCCGTCGACGCCGCCCCTGCCGGGCTCCTTCGGCGCCGACAGCGCCACCGCCCAGCCGGATGGGCCTCCGGGCTTGGCCGACAGCGGGGTCGTTCACGAATGGCCGGCGTCCGAATCGGCCGAGGTATCCGTGCTGTCCATCCCCCTTGGGGATTTCCACCGCCGGGTGGCCCTGTCACTGGGCATGGCCATGAGGCCCGGCCGAGGCCTCACCCCGGCCGGCGTGTCGGACGGCCTGGGCGGCGTCCAGATCGTGTCCTTCGCCGTGGCCGAGCATCGGAACCAGGATCTCACCGTGGATGTCCCCCTGCCGGGGAGCCCCCGGGCGCCGGATACCTCGCCCTTCGAACGCCTGCCGTTGCTCCTTTCGCCTCTGGCCACCGGGCTTGGAGCCGACTTCCTGGCACTATCACCGAGTGTCGGGCCAAGCCCGGCCAGTAATCTGGACTCCCCGGGCCCGCCGGATGCCTCGTCTTTTGGGATTCTCCCCCACTCGCCGGTGGGGCTGCTGGAGAAGGCCCGCGGTGCGGCCCATGCGCTGGCCGCGTCGGCGGCCTCACCGCCGGGCGCATGTCCGCCTGTGGTCGGCGGGCCGCCCGGCGGCTCCGGGCCGGGGCCGGGACCGAGCCCAGGATCGACACTGGGCCCGGCCCCGGCGCCCGCCCTCCCCGGCTCAAGCTGGACCGCCGGCCGGATGGCCCTGCTGCCGGATGCCGGCCTCTCGGACACCATGGTGGACTCCCGAGGCTCGGAGCCGATGGCCGCCCCGGCAGATGTCGTCGCTCGGGCCCTGCGGTCGGATGATGGGCAGCAATACCAGCTGCAGCTGGCCGAGTCGCGGGCCCAGCGCCCGGGGCATTCGGCAGCCCTGGCCCCCCATCGCCAGGAAGTCTGGCCGGCCATTTCCGATGTGGCCATCCTGCCGAGTCGGATGCCCCTGGCGCCGCTGGCCGTGGGGCAACTGCTGGGCCGGGGCCTGGCCACCCCCGGGTCCCTGCCAGGATGGCTGCGACTGGCCGCCCCCGATGCCCGGCTGGGGTTCGACATGCCGGCCGAAGCCCTGCGCATTGTCACCTGCGGAGCCGGCCCGGTGCTGACCGTGCAAATGGCCACCACCCAAGATGTCGGAGCCACCCTGGCCCGGACCCGGCGCCTGGCGCAGGCGGGCCTCGAGCAGGACCACGCCCAGCGAGCCCTGGCTCGAAGTGCTGCCGGCGCCCCGGGCAGCAAGCCCGCCAGTGCTCTGGGCCTCGGGCAGCATGCCCACCGAGCGGGGCTCCTCGACACCTTCCTCAAATCCCTGCCCATGGGGCTGCTGGCCGGGGCCGGGCCCGGAGCCGGGGCGCCTGCGATCCCCGGGACCGGTGCCTCGACCACCGGCGAGGCACCTCCACCCGTCGATGTCCTGCCGCTGCCCGTGGAAGAGGAGGACCCGGACACGCTGCTGGTGGACGCGCCGGACCCGGGGCCCCCGGGGCCGGGCCCGATGCAACGACACCTGCAGCGCCCGCAGCAACTCCGGGTCCCGGCCCCGTCGGGCTCCCTGGCCAGGGGTGGCATGGCAGCCGGGCTTGCAGGCTCGGCTGCTCGGGCCCCGGGCCCCGGGCGGGCGAGTTCCCCCGCTCGGACGCCCACCCATGATGCCTCGAGCGACTCGGAGGATGACTCGGTGGTGCATCTGACCCGGTCCGACATCCAGCCCGCCTCCTTCCTGCAGGAGCGCCTGACCATCCAGTGGTCATCCGCGCTGGGGCCCCGCCGTGAGGATGACCCCCCGGGCAGTCTGGATGTGGACCTCCCCTGGGCGCCGATGGACAGCCCATCCGGCGGCCCGGGGCTGGGGGCCATCAATGTGACAGTCACCTCGGAGGCCGACACCCCGGCCGGAGCCCCGGCCGGCGGCGATTACCTGTGGGTCCCGCGTGAGGGTGCCTGGTCTGACGACCCGACCGGGGGATCCTCGCCCCTCAGCCCAGGCGCCTCGGCTCGGCGGCCATCCTTCTCCGGTACGCGGCTCATCCCCTCACCGGCTGGCTGCCCGCTGACATGGCACAAGAAAATGCCTCCAATTGGCCTGCCTACTTTGCTGTTTGCCTCGCCTGAGCTTGCTGACATGGCCTTCTTTCGTGCCTCTCCTGCCGCCAACTACCGCCATGCGGATGTGTATGTGCATGTCGGTGCGTATGTGTACACGCACACGCGCACACGCGCGCGCGCACCTCATCAGACAATATCTCGCTGCCGGCACATAACGAACTGGCAGACCCACCGAATGACGCGTCCGAGGATGACACCGACATGTTGACCCACGAGGATGTCGGCATGGGGGACTTTGGGGATGACGAGTTCTTCCAGACATTTGACGAGCAGCCGCTCGAGGCTCCGAGCCCGCCGACCGGCGGGTCTCCGGCAGCCGGCGAATCCTCCCCGCCGTCGTTGCTCGGGGCATCGTCCCTGCCCCGAGCATCGCCGGCGGCCTCGCCATCGGCCCTGCCCCCGGCATCACCCCAGCTGTCGCTCCCGCCGGGACCACCGCTGGGAGCCTCCCCCGGGCCGGCAGCACCTTCCCCCGAAGAGCCCCTACGCGCGGCTCCTCGCACCCCCCTGTCCGTGGGAGCCACCTGGTCGGACTTGCACCGGCGCGCGCGCACCGTGGCCACATCTCCCTGCGGGCGCTTTGTGGCCACCAGCGACGCCTCCGGCCGGGTGATGCTCTTCGCGGTGGATGCGGCGCTCGGGTGCGAAGTGCGCCTGGCGCGCACATGGATCGGCTATCGCGATGTGCAGCTGGCCTTCTGCACCAGCGAGCCGGCCACGTCCGGTCTGGCGGCCGGCCGGTCGCGCACTCTCTTGGCCTTGGTGCTTCTGTCCCCCCGACGGAGCATCCTCGAGGCGTGGAGTCTCGTCAGTGGCCAGCGTGTGCTGACCAAAGTCCTGACCCCGCGCGCGGCTGTCCATGACGCCCCCGGGCCAGGGACCCCGGCTCCTGGGGAGGAGCCCGAGGAGGGCCTGGCCCACGAGCCGGAAGCCTCGGAACCTTCGGGCGAAACACCGGTCCTGGTGGACCATGACGCGCGCCCGGGGCCTCGGGGGCTGGCTTGCAGCGAGGCCGAGCCCCCGGAGGCCGAGCTGTGGCACTTTTGCCTGGCCGTCGGGGCACAGCCCCTCCCGGCCACGATGGCCGGAGGCGCCTGGCTCGCCCCCCGACAGGATGTCTTCCTGGTGGACCGGCGCACGCTCACCCTGTCGCGCATTGTCCTGGACTATGACGTGTGTCTGCGCGGGTCGGTGGGGCTGGCGTGCGGCGCGGCGGCCGGCCGGCCGGGTGGCCCTGCGGGCCCGGGCCCACTCAGGCGCCTGCCCCCCTCGCAGACCATCCTCCCCTGGAGCGACCTTGTGGGTGGGACTCTGGCGGCGGCGGGGCGCCTATTGGACGAGGCGCCTGACGGCCTTCCCCGGCGGCCCTCCCCCTCGCTCGACGAAGCCAGCTGGTCCGGGCCGCAGTTGGGCGCAGCCTTTCTGGAGGCACAGCGGCACCTGGAGGCGCCGGCCCTGCCCGGCGCTGCCGGGGCCCTGACCCCGGAGCTGATGCTGCGCGTCCTCCGGCGGGTGGCCATCGACCAGCGGCCCTCCTCCCTAGCGGCCCTGCGCATCATCACGCTCATCGGCCTGCGCCACTTTGGGGTCAAGACCCCGGCGCTGACCCAATTGCTGGCGGACCCGGCTCGACATCCGCCGGCCTCCGTGTCACAGCTGTCTCCGCGCCATCCCGGGCCGTGTGTGGACTTCGCGGCGCTCGACGAGCTGGTTCTCTTTGATCGGGCCCTGCACGCCTTCAGCATCCTCGCCAGCCCGGTGAGCGTGGAAGACACCCGTCTGGAGGCCATCTGGATGGCAACCGGTACGCACCGGCCCCGATGGCCGGGCGCAGGGGTCCCCCATGCCCCGGGACCTGCCCGGGCCCATGTCGCATTGCCTGGCTCTCCCCTGCGTGCACATCGATCTGACCTTTGTCCGTAACTTGCTCGGTCGAAAAAAAAACCCCACCCAGGCCTCCCGGAAGTGTCCTTTACGGGCACCGTCTTCGAGGATTTGGCCGCCCTGCCGCGATCGCAGCTGGCGGAGTTCTTCGACCTGGGCAGCGGGGCGCACCCCCCGACGATGGTGACGCCGGCCTCCGGGGGGCCGATGGCGTCGGCAACAACAACCGCAACAACGAGCACCGACATCGCCGCCGGTGCCTCGGAGGCGGTCGACGCGCTGGCTTTCGCGCGGCTCTTCGTCTCCACGGCCACAAGCGAGACGCGCGATGCTGACAGCGCCACCCGCACCCCCTTGATTGCCCGGCTGACCAAGAGTGTCGTTGCCCCGGCCGATGGGTCTTCGCCGGACGCCAGCTATGTCCTCTTTCTTGCCGGTGCGTCCTGGTACCTGGCCAGGGGGCTGTGTCCAACGGCGCATCCTCGCCTCTGTCCGCCTTCCTCTTTGTCGCTCTCTCTCTCTCACACACACACACACACGCCCACTTGCCCATCGGGGGATTTTTGCTTCGCACCCTGCACTCCCCGCCCCCCTCTCCTGTCGCTTCCTTGTCCATCGCCCAGGCCGCCTATACTTCGAGGACTTTGTGAGCAGCGCAAGATCGGGGTCCTTCTTCCGGCTGATTCGTGCACTGCAGGTGATGCCCATCCAGTCAGAATCCCTTCAGGTGCGTGCATTTGCCGCCATGTCGTGCCCGGGCCTTGCCCGCCCATTTCCCCATATCCCTGCTGTGGCGGGGCCCCGGCACGATGTGCATGTCGAAGGCCATGCTCACGACATGCCCAAGGCAGGACATAATTAATTGCGCACACACGCGCCTGACACTGCCGCCCCTCCTCGCCCCTTAGCTTCTCTTGCGACTGTACCTCCGGCGCCTGGACATTCTCAATGTCCAGGGGAATGACGCCTCGGCCGGGTCCGATGGCCCGGCCTTCTGTCGGCGGATGCTGGCCCTGGCCGGGCTGCTGTGCTACGCCGAGGTGGCCAGCCCGTTGGAGACGGCCGCGCCGGCTGGCGTGGCTGACGCCTTCCCCGGCTACCGGATTGCCGGATGGCTGACACACCGACTGGCTGGGCGTGATGGCGGCCCGTCCGTGCATGCGTCCGATGTCCTGGCCCCGGGCTTGGTGGCTGGCGGCCAGGGCCCCGGGGGCCCGGTGACCAGCAACTCTGGCACCTCGCCGGCCGCCAACAGCACCAGCACACCGCCGGGCCTGGCCGCCGCTGTTGGGGAGATGGTCCTCACGCCGAAGCTCCTGTCCCATGGATTTGCCACCTCCCGGGCACCGAGCTCCGGCAACGACAGGCAGGCCCTGCTCAGTGTCCTCTTCTCTTGGTGCGCACAGTCCTACCGCATTGGGCATGCTCGTGCCCTGGCCAGCTCGGTGCTGCTGATGCAGGTCCTGCTCGGCGGGGGCGGCACCGCCGGCCGGGCCGGTGTGCCTGGGTCCACCGTGCTGCCCCGGCAGCTGGCCGGTCGATTGGCCGCCTCGGCGTCAGCCTGGCTGGACCTGGTCCACCTTCTAAATCGCTGCTGGTACTTGAGCGTGCAGCTGTCGGCTCCGGCACGTCATCGATCGACCGAGTCGGGCCCCGCCATCCCCGGGCGCCGATGCATGGCTCGCGGCGGGGTGGCTGTCACATCTTTGCCGCTGCCGATGCGCGTGTCACCACATCAATTGGAGCGTGTGCGTTTCCTCGCCTTCCCCCCTCCAGCCCGCCACCCCCAGTCATGGATCTGCCTCGCTGCACCCCAGCCCACTCACACTCGCCTGGCCGCGCCTCGCCGCTGTGATCCCCTCGCATGGCCACACGCCCATGCGCACGTCTGTGCACATGTGTGCCTGTGCACGGCCTCCCCGCGCACATAGAATGAGTGCTCCATCGAGCGTCTCTGTGCCATGAATTTGGCACTGCAGCCGAGCTTCCAGCCGATGGTGCGACCTTTTGGAAGGGCAGGAGCCTGCCTCGGGGCACACCATATACTGACCCTCGCGCGTGCCCCGCTCCTCCCCCCCCCCCCCTTTTCGCCTCAACTTGCACTCGATCCAGCGGTGCAACCACTTTGTCATGGAGTGCTTCCTGGTGTACTTCCTCTTTGACGACCTCAAGCGCGACCATCCCTCGGTGTCGGGAGCCGAGGGCATCCTTGCCAGTGACTCCTCTTACCTTGGTGCGCTCTCTCAGCCGCGTCCGCGCCTCTCCGGGGCCTCCCCCCACTCACTAACCCATGGGCCCGGGTGCGTGCCCCCTTCTCGTCCTCCTCCTCCTCCTCCTCCTCCTTCCCCTCCTCCCTTTTCAGATGTCCTCGCACGTCTGGTTGGGCTGATCGAGAATCTCCACCAGTCTTTCCCGCAAGAGCGCGTATCGACTTTCCCCCTGCGCCGGAGCCCGGATCGCCTGCACACGGGCCATGTGCTGCAGCTGATTTCGGCTCTCGGTGCGTGGGACCTCCTTCGGCCGATCGTGCGCCAGGTGTTCGGTCTGCCAGGGGCTGGACCCATCGGCCCGGACTCGGGCTTGTCGCCAGGTATGAGCGGCCTCCGTCCTCGAGGCGCCTCTTGAGCGATGCTCACTCCACGCCCACGACACCGGCGCCCATTACTGACCGCATTTTGCCATACCTCTCTCTCTGCCCCCCCCCCCCCCCAACCTCTGCTCCTCCTGCTTCGCCTGCCCCTTGAAGATACCGATGTCGGCACGGTTCTTCGTCTGGCCGAGCGTGTGCTGCTGGTGGTGGCCGGCTTTGCCGGCATCGCCCCTGGGCCTGTGACTGTCCAACAAATCCACACAGGGGCCTTGGTGCCGCCCCCGCGGCTCGGTGCTGGGTCGGCCACCGCCACCGTGGCCGGCGCACTGCCCTCTCCCAAGCCGAGCTATGTCTTCCTGGACCCGGCACAGGGGGTTTTCGCCTCGCCGGAGTGTGCTCGGCTTCACCGGGGTGCGGGGAGCGACTCGGCGTCGGCGGGCCTGGCCAGAGCCGATGGGCATGTCGTCCAGGCACCCGCGCGCCGGCCGGTGCACGCCTGCACCGTGGGCGATCTGCGAGACCTCCTGCTCAAGAAACCACCGGGGCATTATGAACATGAGGCCATCGGCTTCATTCGATCATTGACGGAATCCAGCGCGCACGAGGTCCTCAGCTTGCCGGACGAGTCGGCCCTCAACAGGTATGTGCCTTTGAGCCAGCCTTGCCTCCCTCTTCCTCTTTTTCTCCCCCGACCCCCCGCGTCTCTCTCTCTCTCTCTCTCGGATTCTCTTTTTTCGGGTCAGTCACTTTTCGCCATATGAACCGTGCTGACATGCATTTCCCCCGCAAAACACACACACACACACACACGCACACACACATGCACGCACATTTATGTAAATGTGCGTGTCCATCCATGATCGCATGCACACCAGCGACCTGATCCTGGCGGACCTCGGGACCGTGCGCGCTCTTCAGATCCTGGCCGCGGTGCGGCCTTCCTCGGCTGCCTGGCCAGCCGGCTGGCAGCTCTTCCCGCCGGCCGCACACGCGCAGCTCCTTGGCGACAGCTACTTTCCCCGGCCGGCCGGGGTCGGCCTGCCCGGGTCGCCGGGACCCACAACAGCCCTCGAGCAGGAGGCCGTGGCTCTCGCCCAGCTTCAGCGCCTTCGCTGTGTGCTGATGGCGCAGGACTGGGCCTTGGTTGCCCGGCGGCCGGACCTCCTGGATCTCGCAGCGTATTTGGGATTGTCGGCCGGTCCAGCGGGCTTCGGCCCGCTGGGTCCTGGTCGCCGTACTGTCCGGCCACTCCTCACTCCGGACCAGTGGTACACGGCCTGGATTGGACGCCTGGCGCTGGCTCCCGGAGCCATGCCGGCCATCGAGGCCTCGCTGCCGGTCCTCTCCCGGCGCCATCTCGTTGGTGCGTGTGTCCTGCCTCTCCGGCGGCCACTTGGCCGCTGACGCTGGACTGTGACCCATCTCGCCCCTTCCGCCCGCCTCCCTCAGACTGTGTCCTGCCTGCATTGGGCACACCCAGTCGCACTTGCCGAGCTGCTGCCTTTCCCGTGCTTAGTTTGCTCACTCCTGCCCATCCTTCTCCTTGCTTTCGCGACGAATCGGCCAGTTCCCGAGCTGATTGAAGCATGCCGGATGCGTTTGCTCGCGGCCCAGCTGGCCGACATGGACACCATTCCCACCAACCCCTGGCTTCGGGCGGATACCGCGCTTCGAGCCCCGGTGGATTTGCTGCTCACGACCGACTCACTGGCCGGGCCGGTGGCCGGGCGTCAGGCCCTGGCCGTCGGCGGTGCCGGGCCTCCAGCACTCGGACGCGAGCGCGACGACCTGGCCCTGCTGGTGGCCTTGGCGCGTGGGCTAATTCCCACATCCACACCGGCCGGGCCACCGGGCAGCGGCGGCGGCGGCGGCGGCGGCGGTGGCGGCGGCGGCGGCGGCGGCGGCGGTGGTGGTGGCAGCGCAACCGGGGCCAGTGGCCCCAGCCTGGGCCATTCCCACCTGCACCTGGACGGTCTTGGCTCGCCGGTGGCCGACACCTTCGACGTCGCTGACGAAGTGGTAACCGAGCGCCCGGTGGCCGGGTCCCTCCTGGCCATCACCAATACCCAGGGACTCTACCGGTGTGAACTGCTACTCACAGTTCTCAACGCCCTGTCCCACTGATCACAGAGACGGTTGCCCCCTGCTTGCATTATCCCGACAGCGCGGCCCCCTCCTTCGCCCCCCCCCCCCTCCCACATCCGCGCGCGTATGTGTGTGTTGTTCAAACATGCATCGAGGCACGGCAAGACACAATATAGCACCTACATTCCCATGTGCAAGAGTGCATGCGCGCGCACGCACGCATGGAGCCCGACACTCCACCCGGCGAACGGGGAAAGACCTCAACAAATACCCCCGCTCCCCCGCTCCCCCGGAAAGAGCACGGGCGAAACAACGGCAGACGCGCCCTCGTCAATGTTGAGGTTTTATTGCAGAAGGGAGGAAGAGGGCGGGCAGATGGGCCGCCCACACTTTGTCGGGCGACCTTGCACGGCAGAGGGCGGGCCACTGGCAGGCGGCGCGCGCACCGAACACCACACAGAGGGATGAAGAGGAGAGGGGAGGGGGGGGGGCGAAGGTGGCCTCGACTGCCGGGGGAGGAGAACGCACAGCGTTCCTCCCCCCCTGGAGGAGGCGGCCCACAGAGAGAGAGAGGGAATAAAAGAGGGAGCAAAGAGAAATGCTGGAATGGCGAAAGGCCCATGGGGGGGAGGGGGGGCGCGGCGGCCGGCCTGGCGCCTTTAGATCATCTCAACGTAGTTCGAGGGGAAGAGACCCTTGCGGCCATTGCAGGTGCCGGTCCACCAGCCGCCGTCGTCCTTGGCGGTGATGGAAACCACATCCCCAACCGAGAGCGACAGCTCGTCAGCCTCGCAGGCCGCGTAGTCATAGAGCGCACGGCACTGCGGGAGCTTGGGCTTGGAGGCGGGCGGCGGGGCGGGACGCTTGCCGGAAGCACCAGACCCGGAGGCCGGAGGCGCGCCGCCGAAGCGCGGGGCACCGCCACCAGCACCAGGCGGGGCGCCGAAGCCGCCAGAGGCCGGCGGAGCACCACCAAACCGCGGGGCACCACCACCACCGGCCCCGGGCGGAGCGCCGAAGCCACCGGAAGCCGGGGGCGGACCGCCGAAGCCGCCGGCCGCAGCCGGAGGCGGACCGCCGAAGCCACCGGCCGCAGCCGGAGGCGGACCACCGAAACCGCCGGAAGCCGGGGGCGGACCACCGAAACCGCCGGAAGCCGGGGGCGGGCCACCGAAGCGCGGGGCGCCACCGGAGGCAGCCGCACGCGGGGCCGAAGCCCGGCCAGCTGGCTGGATGTTCTTGGAGTCCTTGGGCATGCCGGGCGGAACCAGCATGATGCCGTTCTTGTTCATGGTGGGGATCTTGACGGTGCTGTCATGCTGGAACTTGATGACACGCGTACCGGCACCGGAGAAGCCGACCTTCTTGACGGTGTAGGTGATGGCATCGGAGAAGCGCACGTTCAGGGTCTTGCCGAAGTGGTCCTTGGCCTTCTCCACCATCAGGGAAATGAGCTCGGTCTTGAAGACAGTCTCGAAGACATTGTCATACTCCCCGGGGATGTGGAAGACCACCACATCATCGGCCAGGGTGGACACGCTGACGGCCTCGATCTTGTCCAGGGGCATGGTCCGGCGGACAACATGCACGGCCTGGCCCTTCTGCGGGCCGTCCTTCATCACCTCCAGGGCAATCAGGTAGATCACACGGTCGGTCATGAGCAGGACACGCTGCTGCGGCTTGAAGCGACGCTCATACTTGGTGACATTGTCGGCGAAGATGACGCGCTCGCGCTTGGGCAGCAGCACACGCAGGGCCGGGTTCTCGATGAAGCCGATGTAATCGCCGATGAACTCGCGACGCAGGGAAATGCGCTTGCGCTCCTTCTGCCCGTACATGATGTCCTGCGAGCGCTGCTTCAGCTCGACGAAGTACTTGGCCGCCTTCCAGCGGCGGTAGGCGCGCTGGATCTTCAGCGCATACCCATGGTACTTGCGGTTGCGGAGCTCCTCCAGCATGAAAAGCGACTCCGGGCTCTTGATGAAGATCTTGGAGTTACCCATCTGATACTGGGTGGGGTCCACATCGCAGGCCTTCATGATGTGCAGGCAGCCCTGCTGCGCGGTGCCGCTGCGCCACTCGGGGAAGGTCTCCGGCGTGAGAATGGCAAAGCGCCGGACGAACTTGTCGAAGGGCTGACGGAAGGCATAACCGGCACGACGAATGCGGATGTTCTCCTTGAGGTTCAGGTAGCGGACCTGATGCAGGACACGGTCGTTCTCCCAATCGCGCGGGCGCTTGGTCTCATTGGGCTTGATGCAGCGGACGTAGTGCGGCGTACAGCGCATGAGAGTGTCCACAAGCTCATTGGCTTGGTTCTGTGTGTGCGTGTGCGTGTGTGCGTGTGCGTGTGTGCATGTGTGTGTGGGGGGGGG